CCTAGGGCAGACTCTGCCAATTATGGACAGAAGTTTTGGGAAGTGCATTTTGGAATCCCTCCGTACCACTAAAAGCATCTTAGGGAACTTCAGTGATCTCACTGGAGAGCGGGGATTGGTTCCCACTGTCTACAGGTGGCCTCAGGATAGAAATGAGCTCCCGGTGCAAACAATGGTCTTCCTTTGAGTCTACAGGGAGACACACCTGCAAGTAGCAGGAGCAGCCTGTCAGTAGTTCTAGGTGAAACTGCTGCTTCTCCTGATTCAGAATGAGCATCTTGAGAAACTTCAAGGACAGGAAGCCGGTGAGCTCTGGTTTCTTAGCAATGCCATGGTGCTATCCCTGGGAGGTGGGGCTGCCATCATCACTAGAGACACGCCAAGCCACCAGCATGGCATCAGAAATGAAGGTCGAGGTAGTACAGGCGATGACCACAGTGACCGTTGTGGCACGGTTGTGTACATCAATAACATGTCCCCTCCTACTTATTTGAATAAAATTCCCTTCAAATACTGGCCATTCTTCAGTCTGTCATAATCCCCATTGTGCAGTTGCTGATGCAGATTCCGTTTTTGCTCTGGAATAGATCCATGTTGAAGCTGCTCTGGGATGGGAATTCTGTGATGTGTCACTGCTCATGGGGTGCCCTGCCACAACACTGGTCCATGGGGCTGGGTGTTCCTTGTCTACACTGGCAGAGGAGAGACCTGCAGCAACAATGTTCCCCAGGGCTGGGCCTTCCTTGCCCTCACTGGCAGATGAATGATCTGCAGCAATACTGGTATAAAGTTTTGTTCTTCCTCCCTACACTGGCAGATGAAAGAAATGCAGCAACACTGGTCCATGGGTCTGGGTCTTCCTTGCCAACACAAGCAGATGATACCTGGGCAGTGCTGGTCATCAGCACTGGATCTTACTTGCTCTAACTGACAGATCAGACCTGTGGCAGAATTGCACCAAGGGTGGTGATGAGATTGGGGTGTAAGTGAGGATGTTTTCTGGGGAAGAAAGTATCCTGCGATGGGTGTGAGGGTTAGGATAGTTAACCTCACTCATAAGAGGCCAGCAGCAATACAGGTCCACAGGGATTGGTCTTTCTTGTCTACACTGGCAGATGAGGGACCTGTAGAAACACTAGTCCATGGGGCTGGGTCTTCCCTGCCCTCACTGGAATATCACACCTGTGGCAGAAGTGGACTAAATGTTTTGGTCAGGTTGCTGTGTGTGTGAGAGTGTTTGTTGGGAAGGAGGTTAGGCTAGGATGGGGGTGAGGATAAGGATATTTAACCTCACTGATAAGAGACCTAAAGCAACATTGGTCCATGGAGTTGGGTCTTCTTTCATCTCACTGGCAGATTAGAGACCTGCCAGGTACACTGGGTCCAGGACTAGGTATTCCATGCCAAAGCTGTCAGGTGAGGCATCAGTGCACAAAGGTGGTTCCACACAGGTTTCTATCAGAATTCTGCCAACAGAGACCTAAATGAGGGTGTGGGAGTTCGCTGGGAGGGAAGTGAAGCTAGGAAGAAGGAAGGGGTCAGGTTTTCTGCTTGGAGTGGGCAGGGAGAATGGGATGGGCCTGAAGGTACTTTCTCTGAGCTTCACTACCCTCAGCTTTGAAAAGAGGGGTTCATTCCTTCCTTTATAACCATCTATTACTACTAACCAACTGTTGTTGTAATAATCTAGTCTTTTGTCCATTTTGGGAAAACAAAGGAAGCCTTTAACACTTAGCTTTGGGTCACATATAACGCTAGTGCATACAAAGTTATGTTTGACTTGATAGATTCATCAAAACAGCCAGCAGTACTAGGACCATCCTGATGTCAGAAATGCTAAAATGCAGTTTATATATATACACAATTCACCATTAGCATTGTGGTTGAAAGTTGGACCTCTAATCTCAAGGTCAGGAATTTGAACGTGTAAGCTGGTCCACAGGAGAAAGATGAGGCTTTCTGACATTATAAAGATTTATAGCCTTGGAAACCTAGTATAGGGTCACTAAGAGTCAGAACCTACTGCACAGCACACAACCACACAACCAAACACTAACACCGTTGTCGGCCTTCTCCACCATCTTGATCCCATCTCAAACCTGTCTTTCTACAGAAAACTGGTGTCCTCCGTGATTGCCTGCATGTGTGGCATCAGTAGCTGCATGCTGAGGTCCAAAGTTAGTGCCATTTGCCTCATTATTAATGTTAAAGACTCCTTCTTGAATTTTTTCATCAATTTCTTTTGCTGTATTAATAAATGCCTCTTCTACATTGGAAGCAGTCTTAGCAGAAGTTTCCATGAAGATAAGTCCGTGCTTTTGTGTGAAAGCTTCACTTTCTTCTTTTTTCACTTCTCTTCTAGATTCTAAATCACTTTTATTTCCAATAAGCATAATGACCATGTTGGAATTGGAATGCTGACGGGCATCTTCTAACCAGGATGTCAAGTAGTTGAATGTCTCTCTCCTTGTAATATCATCTACTAGTAGAGCACCGGCTGTACCTCTGTAATTCGACCTTGTGATGGAACAAAAGGACTCTTGCCCAGCTGTATCCCATATCTGAAGTTTTATCTGTTTTCCATCAATTGTTACCATTCGAGCACCAAACTCTACATCAATAATAAGGTCATGGACTGGCTGAAACCTCTGGTTTGTAAACGTTAGCAATAGGCACAGTTTACCAACACCCCTATCATCGATGATGACGTACTTGAAGAGATAGGCATATGCCATGGCCTCGGCCGTTCAGTGCCAGGACATGGCTCCTGCTCCTCCTCCGCACCACTCCCTCTGGCGCCATGCATGCTGCAAATGCTAGGACCCTCCTGCCTCCTTCAGCTTCTGGGAGTGAGATGCCCAGAGGAAGCGAGACAAGCTGACAGGAGAGAAGGCAAGACAGAACCTGACCAAACCCAGCTGAACAATAACAGCCGATGCCA